TTTTTTCTTTCCTAGCTTTATTGTCAAAAATTGTACAATGCACTGGTATTGTGCTTTAAACAGATCAGTACAACTTGTTTTCATGCAAGATTGTGACATGCTGTTTCAAATGTCCCGAATTACTTCCTACAATTCAGCAAAGTTGTTTCATTGCTGTATGACCCTCTAAATTTCCGATAAGTCCATTCAGCTTCAATAATATTCACTTTGGGACTTTGTGCAGGCTAAGCCTTAGTTTAGAGTGTCCCATGGATGTTTACTTTCTTTCCGGGTATCGCTTCACAACGCTTGCTGCATACTTGGTATTACTGTCTTGCTTCAAGATGACTCTCTGCCTAACAACTCTTTTTTCCTGAGGATCTGGCATGATAGATAAGAATCTGATTGTAACCCCTGGCAGTTTTGTGTAGATATCCATAACTATTGGTTGCAATGCAGCCCACACTTGTGTTCTTCCCAATATGCTTCAGTTTAGATGTTGTACGTTGACCGTGATACCGTTACTCTCTCTGTTATTAAACAAACTGACGTCTATTGCTGACAAACAATTCGAATTTGTCAAGATAAACTTCCGCCATCTTTGATCATCGTATTGTTTGAAGTGTGATTGCTCATTTCAATGTTTTGGTTTGGTTATCTTTCCTAATCAGTAAGCCACTTCGTATTGTGTTCTGGAGGTAACATTCACACTTACAGTTATGCCGCTTGCAAGATCTCTATTGGATCGTTGTGTATCCCATAAACATGTTCTCATTTATTTAACACCTCTGTAGAAGGGTTTTGAGCTTTTTTTATTTTAATCGCTTCTATAATCAACAGCACTAGTTTTACAAACCCTCTTCAGATACGAAATTTCACTACAGTTAGCTCTATGGATTAGCCTTCATCAGCCAAGACTTTGATTTCTACACGTTTTTCATGTGATAGTTCTGTTCTTGGAGCAATGAATCTACCCCCACTTCTCACACTACTTGTGGGAATAGCATTATTCTTTCTTTGCTTCACGGCATTTTGCTCCATCGTTTTATCCTGGGTTATATATATACAACGAATTGTCCGCACATTTAGGTATAACTATATATTTTATGATGGAGCTTGTTGAAATGAAAACTAAACTGCATGGCCATTGTCAAGATTCACAGTCGTCAGAAGTAACATGACCGGACGTGGTGAGGCTCCAAAATCATTTTATAATAAATACTCAATATTTATAGTTATATATGACAAAATACATTTTGTATTATTGTTTTGTTTTACAGACATTACGCCAGTGTCTAATGTGTTAGATGACAACCAAGTACTGTGTCACTGCACTCTAACACACTTTAGTTTTATATAGTAGAAAGGTATAATATCTGCATTTTATAACAACTTTATTCGCTGTAACTATAATTATTACAAATAATATGTCTATGCTTGTTCTATCAGGTGCATCGATAGATAAACTTTTTTGTATAGTTGTTAGAGCTTGACTGTAAATCTGAGGGTTCATAGTTTTCTCGGTTCGTCACTACGAAACACGTGTTCACTGCGTTGGGGCCGTGGGTGCGCGATAGGACTGACGGTGAATTTACACTATTTAGTGAGAGTAGCTCAAGACTTGGCGGTGGGTACTGCTCATTAGTTGCTCAAATTTATAGACGGCTATGCGCAGATAGCTCTTTGTGTAGCTTTGCTCGAACATTCTGGAAACAAATGTTAAATTACTGATTGTTATTTTTTGTTAACCTTGTGTTCATTTGATTACTAATGTGAGACCGAAATGTTTAATGCAACGTCCATCTTCAGTTGTCTGAAACCAGGTCATCTGTAAACCACACGATACCATCTATAGTCAAATTTAAGTTATATTTATCATTAGTTTTAAGCATTCTATTAGCAGCATCTTTATACTTAATATTTATGATTCTCGGCAGGTTTACTTGAAAAACGTTGATGAAAAAATCCAGATATCTGCAATATAAATTGAATATAGTATCGGTAGTGCAAAATAGTTTTGTTTAGATTTAGTTAGCTCTTTCAGCATTAGTTTACCTTTCGTGTTTTATTCTTTATTTGTGTATATCTAGATATACGTATGAAATAACGTTTAGAAGCTCTGTTAGCTGTCACTGAATTTATTTAAAACACCAGCAGGAAATAATTAAAAATTTATTTATAATTTATCTCAGGTTACGCAAGATGGCAGTGCGGAACCAGTCCTGTTAGGTGGTTACCGGATTCTCCAGATTTGAGCGAATGTCAGTCTGTTTGGGTGGACAACCTACATAGCAGGGTAAGTCTACTAATTGCCATAACTGTCATACTCGTATGAAGATTCTATTAATATCCTTTAATTCTACTTTGTAATGTTTTAAAACACCATTGTTATTAGCATAGGTACCAAACAAGATAACTGTGGTGTTGCCATACGCTAAAACTATATACAGAGTGATTAAAAAAGCTATAACACTTGTATGGGTTAAAAACTCACAATTTAAAAAAAACAAACAACGATTATCTTATACACAATTCTATAAAAATGAGATCGTTTCCAGTATCCAAATTACTAAAATACGATAACTTTCTGTACAGGATAAAAAGTGGTAAAAAAAAACTGTATATTTCTGGAAATATCATTTTAAAACTATTTTGGAGTAACTCAAGTTTTAGGTTCAGTATTTGCACTATTGTAAAAGGACACTACTCCTAAGTTAGCTTTAATCTCCTTGCCGAGAGAGGATATAAAACTTACTCCGCTGGTTTATCTAATAGTACACAACGCATCCTTTTACATTTCGTATTAGTTCCTGGAAAATGTCAGTGCTTATTGTATTTTGTAACGTAAGTTTTAATAGCCCCCCAGTGGCACAGCGGTATGTCTGCGAACTTATAACGCTATAAACCGGGTTTAGATACCCGTGGTGGGCAGAGCACAGATAGCCCATTGTGTAGCTTTGTGCTTAATTAAAAAACAATCAAACAAACAAGTTTTAATAAATTAGGTGTTCAGTTTATATAATGCCACAAAAAATTACGTTGTCTACAGTTAATTTAGTAGTATTTGTAATTTGCGGGCAAAGCTACGCAAGGGCTATCTGTTCATAGTTTTTATAATTTTAAGCTGATGACTAATTAGACGGGTGGGAGATAGTCAACAGCAACAGCCACCAACTGGCAGAATACACATGCCCGAAAAATAGTAAGGTTTGACCGCTACTATTATAGTGCAGGAACGCCCCAAGCTGTGTCGCCTACCTTTCACGTGTTCTTAGATCCATTCAGTATTGTTTATAATGATCTAAAATAACCATAATATTCTATCTCCCACCTTACCAACTGTTCTAATTCAGACTATCCCGACAGTGACCGTAAATTCCAAGGGCGTGTGTACTAACTGTCAAATACATTGTGATATCCAATACCATCACTATTTACAAGAAATGTAATACAATAAACAATGGTAGAAAACACACATAAACACTTCTATAACGATACAAAACAAAAATGCAAGTTAATGAGAAACACATTCTTCTCCATCTGTTATTTAAATGTGTTTTATTTTTAGGGATGGTTTCGAGGTAAACAGGTTTTAGATAGTTAGTAATTAGCGTTGTCCCTCTGGGTAAGCTGGCTGGGTCATTAGGGAATTTCACTTTAGTTTACGAACGAATATAGTCATCTCAAGGGGAACTCCCCAAATAATAATAAAAGTAACAAAGACCAAGTAAAAATAGATATGATGCTCAGGTTAATAAGACAAAAATAATTTTTTTTGCGTTAAAAGATTAAGGTTATATAACACAGGCTATTTTAAAACCTTTTCAACAAGTAGACATTGATATATAACGCTTCGAATTTAGGTAATGTAAATCCAAATCCTTCAAAACAACTTACTGTTTTCATTAATCTGGACGCATGTAACCTTCAATATTGTTTAACGATTAATACTATGTTTTTATTAATCTGGACGCGTGTAACCTTCAATATTGTTTAACGATTAATACTATTCAGTGAATAACCTTCAAATCCTTTAAATAAACCAATGAACTCATAGCTAGTAAAAAAGCAAATTACGATTTTGTGCTTTTTTATGTTTCAGGTTAAGTTTAAACAAACCAATCAACTCGTAACTATTGATCAGGTTAAGAATACATTGTTTGAGGTTTAGCTCAATACTATATTGGAAGTTGAACTGAAACTTTTAACTGTTGCAGATTGAAGGGGAAGAATCTATCGTTGGTATAGCAACAGAATTAGCAGTAATAACAAAAACAAAGCCTCTTTATGGCGGGGATATCCGACAGGTGTCGGGAATCGTTCAGAGGTTGGTTGCCAAGATGGCGGCTACTGTTAAGGACGTGACAGACTCCCAACAACGCTATCAGGGCTCTCCCACCAACCAACAGAGACTGCAGATTACACAAGAGATGTTGGAGGTTTGTAGAAACAGCAGCCAACTTATATTCATATCAAGTATTCGCCCTATTTCTAAGCTATGAAATAAAGTTTAGCCTACATTTTGTTTTTAAATATCAACCATGTTTCAGTTTTCAAGAGACCTGTAAGAAAAAAAAGGTAATACCAAGTGATTGTTTTTGTTTTACCAGAACAAGCACGCCTGTTTCTAATTCTTGGTTCATTCTTGCTGACTTATATTTAAATACTGATGGTATCTTAAGTACATAATGGCTCTCCTCTTTTGTTTCAGCTAATGTCGGAAGTGAGCAGTAACCTACTGGAACGCTACCACAGTGACTCCTGGCGAGACTTACCTGAACCTGAACAGAGATCTACCGCGTCTGCACTGGTACAAGGACTGGAGGAAAGTAGCTGGCTATTAGCTGAATCTCTACCTAGCAACAGCCACTTTCATAAGATTCAAAATAACTTATGTAAGTAAGGCCACGAAGCTTTCGTGTTTTACAAATAAACGTGGTGTTGAGAGTTTAATCGAATGGGCACAGGGTCGGTCCACTGGACTGAATCCGTATTGAAGAAGGAATATTGTCTATAATTACAAATTCACTACGCGAATCTACACGAAATGTGGTCAGCTTTTAGTAAAATGTACAAGTATGCTGTACAGGAAAAAAGTGTTACGAAAGTATTTGTATTCAAGATATATCTGTGAATTGAGGACGTCAGTTTGACTCGGACTCTGAAAAGTCGGAGTACATTGTGATATTGATGTGAAGAACAAGAATACTTTCGTCCATTGTACAGTTTGCAAATTTCATTTGAATAACTTCTAGAACCTCTAAAATGCACATCTACAGTTTATTTCAGTATCCCTGTAAACTGTGTGTAGTATTTACTCGCCCCAACCAATGAACTGCTATTAAATCAGCAATGTAGTATAAAATGAATAGTTAATAACTCTGACATCAAATGTATAATAACGCCCCCCCCCAGTAGTAAGTCTGAAGGCTTATAACGCTAAAAACCGAATTTCGATACTCGTGGTGGGCATAGCACAGAGAGCCCATTGTGTAGCTTTGAAATAAAACAAACAAATAAACGTAATACTAAGTGAATGGCACTCCATAAGAGGTTGTTGCATGCGCCCCTTGACCCCACCTGTGCGCATAGGGTTAAGCCTGATTAGTTTTGTGTGTGTGCATATGAATTTAACTATGAGAAGCATATAAATACCTTCAAAAGATAACTCGTACTCTAAGCTTTCTATGCTCCCCCAAGAAAATATGGTGTGAATAAATAATGGTAAAAACAAAATGATGCACCATTATACCCCCCCCCCCAAAAAAAAATCAAAATGTAATTGTAACCAGACTTCATAATTTTGACGATTCTTATTCGCTAAAGAATTTTAAAATTTGCTTGAATGTATTTAATTAAAACATAGCCTAATAATATGCTTGATCATAATTACAGTTTTCAAAGTATTTGAAAAAATGCGGGTAACGTAAACTGTGCTTGTTAAAATCAAAACTAAAAGACAGGGTGAACTATGAACTACGTGGTTAAATTAGCTTTTGTTACGTGGTGAAGAGAGCAAAATGTAAGCATTAACAAGCTCTACGTTACGTGATGTAAAAACTTATAATTCATAAGAATTTCATATTTTAATGTAGAAATGTATTATTGTTGTTGTTTTTATGTTTTGCATTAAAACAGACATAAAACTAAGTCAAACAGCTTAACCAGCAATTCTAAAGTTGGGGAAGATTTCACAGTACATAATCAGTTAAATAGCAACCGTAGATAGAAGCAGGCACATTTATAATAGTGATTATAATATAGATGAGAGAATAATAAGGTAATTACTAAAGTTATCTCATATCAAATGTGGGATGGTTATACTTGAACCCTAGATCTCTGACCTGGCCGTTTAGCCCACGTGCACATAAGGAGCCGTGTACAGGCTGAGAATTCTAAGTTCAAAAACGGTTCGTGTTTCTTAGCTTGCGATTGTTAGTTTAAATTAGAGCGCAATATTTATCTCTATTAATGTTTCCAATAATTATACAAAAAAAAAGCTTCCAATTGTCACATTTACTGCTAGAAAACCAGTGTAGTGCTTAGGTGTAAAGTAGAATAACTTGATCATTCCAACAGTTAATTGTAGATAGAACGTTACATAAGTAGTCAAATATTGTTGTATTTACTAGTGGTTTCTGTTCGGCGAGTCCAGACGTGGTCAGTGTCAGAGGTTCGATTCCCTTCTCCTGAGGATGTAGAGGCGTCCGAATGGACAAGAATGGATGAATCTGTCATTGTACCTACACAAGCATTACTTGGCAGTGCGATAAACGGTAAGTCATATTTCAGGCTCTGTATAACTTAAAAAGAAGTTTTACTTTCATATAAGGATCGTAGGTGGAAATCATATCAACCGACACCAAGGGACACTTGAAACTTCAATAAATAAGACAACAAATACGATTCCTTAAACGTGCACTTTTTTTCAATACTTTCTGGACTCGAATTGAAAGCTTGAGTAGGAAGTTTTGAGAGATGATAAGGTGGCTCGTAGTTGCACGTATGTTTAAGAAAAATTGGTTTAAAGTTTACTTTGGTAGCAATAATACTATGCACGTAAATAAGTAATCAATAAGTCAGTAAACAAAAAATATTAAAATGTTCATTGCTAGTAATTTCCACGACGTGACAAATAAATATAAGATGACCGTTTACACTGGAACATATTTTGACTTATATTCGTATTCTTAAACAATTTATTACTGCGTGGCCGGGCGTGGTCTAATAGCTAGTGTGTCAGGCTACAGATCAAGGGTCTGACGTCTGAGACGTAATTTCATTAAACACGCTCCGTACTTATATCTACTATGAACCCTAGGGACCTCTAACCTGTCCGTTTAATCTAAGTGTGTGTGTTTGTGTGTGTGTAAAGTACATTGTGATGCGGATCTCGCCGTCTTCAGGATAAGAAATGATGCGGATATCAGAGCTGTCATGGTAGGAAGTGATGGGGATCTCACCATTGTCATGGTAGGAAGTGATGGGGATCTCACCATTGTCATGGTAGGAAGTGATGGGGATCTCACCATTGTCATAGTAGGAAGTGATGGGGATCTCACCATTGTCATAGTAGGAAGTGATGCTTATTTCTTAATCTTTATTTGTAACTAACCTC